AAGTTAGCAAGAACTAATTGAAACCTGAAAGCAGACTAGGTGCATTCAGCCAAGTGGGGCCAGCCTGATCCCTTCCGGCACATTCAGACCAGGACTTCTAGACTGAATCTCACCACTAGAACAGCCAAATACATCCTGAATCTCGCCACTAGAACAGCCAAATACAGTACGCTCTTGATTCAGTCAATTTGAGTCAAAGGTGGATGTCCATTTCACCTGTTCATGCTTCCCGTCCACTTCAACTGGGACCATCTACATCCATCCATGTCAGCTCCAAGGCCAGACCCTACGAATGGTCCTTCTCCCCGGGCCGCTACAATTCATCGCCAGGCAAGGTCTCTCCATTCAACGACGAGCACGTCGAGATGGGTACCACTCAGGCACTAGCAAGATATGTCATGCACCAAGAATAGGAAGGAGATCATCGGGGATCGATCACATAATAATCGAGCAAAGAAAGAAAGAAATTTGTACTCCGCGCTCAACCAACATGTCCCTAACACATTACCACCAGGCGAAGTCTCTCCGCGCTACAATGAGCACGAAGAGATGGGTACCAATCAGGCACTAGCAAAATACTTCACCATGCACCACGAGCACGAATGAAGATCATCAGCGGCCGATTATAACAATAATCGAGCAAAGAAAGAAAAGGAACCTATGATCGCCCCTCTAACCAACGATTACTTCAAGTCAGCTAAGAGCAATTGAAGCTCACGTTCTTTCGCTCACGAGTCTTGACGTAATCTGCATTACATTTCCTGCTCATCTGCTTCCAACCCTCCGGTGGAGTGAGTTGTAGTTCTTCTATCCGCATAGAGCACGACCATCCTCTGAGATCAAGCGCAGAAGTCGACAGTCTTCAAGAACTCCAACCATACAAAAGATTGTCTCCATGAGTGAAACATGTGTAGACGTGTCGATATGGTGTATGTGAGAGTATGCGTTCACAGGATGGGTAGGTCAGTGTATCCTTCCTGTTTTTCTTTTGTGCGCGCGTATGCGCGCGCGCGCACGTGTGTGTGTGTGTGTGTGTGTGTGTGTGTGTGTGTGTGTGTGTGTGTGTGTGTGTGTGTGTGTGTGTGTGTTTTGTCATGGTCGCTACACACACAACTCCACAAAAAAACATGACCGTGCCACATTGTTTCGTCTGACTTTCACCAACTCATCAGGAGGTTGAGCCCAGACAGTCTCAGGATGCATTCGATCAACTGACGGATACCAACTCACCGTGTAGACCATTTGACCGACTGACGGAGGACAACCCACCATGTCCTTCGAAAAGTGATTATGCACATCAACCCTGTGTGTGTTCTTGCACCAAAGACAATGTGACGGGCCTGGTATGCCGAACCTGAGAGGAGGCCAGGCCCAGCACATCAAACCTGAGGGAGTTCAGGAGGCAGGAACGCTGACAGCCGATTCTTTCCTTCCCCCCCCCCCTTCCACCACCAAATAAGCTCCTTTCTATTGGTGAGCAGCAGCACCTGCTGAATGCCGGGTCCAGCGAACTCTCACTCTTAACGCTTCCCCACGTTAAGGCCTGGGGAACTCTGACAGCATTGATTACTTCCGCGGGGAAGAATTAACTATCAGTGTGGCCTCCCAAAAAACTACACCTCCCCTAAGAAACATGCCAAGAACCAGTCCCGTTCGCCTTATTTTGGCTAGGTTCAAGCGCAGACTAAAACTTCTGTGTCTGGATCAAGACCACAATTCTGTCCAAGTGAATGCTTTGCGCCCGATCTCCTGGGCAGAGGGCCTTCTAGAATTGTACCATTCCTTCCTCAGTCTCTAGAGCTCCTTATCTGTCTGATGATGATTCCGTGCCAGAGCAATAGGCTCTCCTATTCAAAGTTAACTTTCCTTGTTGCGGTTGGCCTGTGGAGAGTTTTGACCAAAGCTGACCGTCGATCCTTTATGTGAAGGAAGTAATCAATGCCAATCAGGGGTCCTCCCGTCGAACAGGAACAAAGCATTCATGCATAATTCACATAACTTTGCGAGTTGCCGGCGCAGACATAAATGGACTTTAAATAAACAAAAAAAAAGGACCCACGCTTCCAAGACTCGATAAGGAGCCAGGACAATAACCACCTGTTCACAACAACAAAAAAAGAAAAAAAAAGAAAAAAAAAAAGAAGGGAAAAGTTATAAGACCTCCCCGCGGCGAAACCTTTGCATTCATTTGCCCCCCAAGCAGGGCAAAAAAGTGCCCCAGGCCCCAAAATGACTTTTGGTGTCATTTCTGCACCCTGTAAAACACTTTCCCGCCATTTTTGCACACAGAGGCAAGGCATCACTGGCCCAGCCAGGGTGCAAAAATGACAGGAAAAGTCATTTTGGGGCCTGCAACACCTTTTCCCCCACCCATGTGGGGGGAAATGAATACACAGGTTTCTCCACGGGGAGGTTTTATAACTTTTCCCAATAAAAATCCTGTGTGTGTGCTAGTGTCCACGTGTCGCCAAGTTTCCTAAACAGGCAAAGGGCCTTGCTCCACTTCTCACCAAACTTGGCGAAGGGCCTTGCTCCACTACTCACCAAATGTGCACAATGAGATTGAATCTTCCGCTAGAACATGGGAAGATACAGACCCGTATTTTTTGTTGTTTGTACATGAGGTGAGTTAGTAGAGCAAGGCCCAAAAACACACATCACATTGACAAAGTTCCTTTTAACTTCCTTACGACTTTTGCCGGCTCGTCAGGCGGTCAGAGGACCTCCACCTGCCCGTTCAAGAAAGATAACATTTGGACCATTTATTAATTTATGCGCGTCATCTTTGCGCAGGGGCCATGCTAATCTTCTGTGTATCGTTCCAATTTTAACGGATGTCCCAAAGGACAGAAAGCTAACATTTGACGGATATCTTCGGGGGCACACGGCTGTGCTCAAAATTAGCAACATCTTTGAGAGCAAAAGACGCTGTCGAGTGGACTCGCGCACCAGACTCTCGATCCTAATACTAATATGCCCAAGAAAAAAACAAGGTAGTGGATCACAGCCATCAAACACCTGTAGCTGAAATGCACACATTCAGCCAGAATGGCATCATCCCCACTTCTGAGTAGTTTGTTCGATGAACACGACTCCACGAGAAAAGCTTGTGTGCTGTGACTGTATTCCAAAAGCCTCTCAAAGAAGCTTAACCAACACACCGACAGAGTCCCCTCCTTAGGACATCCCAGCGGGTAAAAGTGGAAATGATAGAGTGAAGATTCACAAGGACGGCAGGTGTGAGGAAAGTCTACCGCTTTTATCAGTGGTATCACTAACTCTAGGCGACGCGTTTAATCTTTATCCATCAGTCAAATGAATACAAACTGCCCGGGTTCAACCTCCTGACGAGTCCTTTTTTTTCTTTTTTTTTTTCGAGTCGTGCTTTTTTCTTGGAGTTGTATATAGTGAACATGAAAATACACCCACCCACCCACCCACACACACACCCACACACAAACACACACACCAAAACACACGAGCACACAGACACAGAGGCTGCAGACAATGGATTTTTGGGAAGGAGACCATTCCTTGTATGTCATCTTTATTGCGAAATTTTCGTTTTCACAAAGCAAAAAGAAGAAAACAAAAAAGCGGAGGTTCGGCCTGATAAGAAGAGCAACTTTGTGGGTAATTAGGGAGGAAAGATGCAGAGCATTAGCCTTGGCAATATCAGAAATCCCCGGGAAAAGGTATGGCCAGCAAATTGAGGACCTGATTGAGGTTGAAATCAACTGCAGGTGGAAAGACCGACAGCTCAACGCTTTGCGAGTTTCCAGAGAGGAAAAAGGGCGGGGAGCCATTTTTCCATTTGAAAGGCCTGTTGATTAACCACGGTTCGGTTGTCAACAGGCCTTTCAAATGGAAAAATGGCTGATCAACGATCGACTGTCGACAACCGAACCGTGATTAATCAAACCTGCAATGACCCACTCCGAGATTCGAAAGGATCGACACAACTCGCGATCAATCATGCCAGCATGCCTGCAGCAGCCCACTCAGAGAGTCTGAGTGAGAGCAGCATGTCAAACCTGCAATTCGCAGCCCGGAGGGTCGAGTTTATACACCTGAGTCATTTTCTTCTTCATTCGTTATACCGGTCGTTCACAAGGGCATTGGAAGGGTGTTGAAAATGAAGGCGGGTGAGCCGGAAATCCTTGCAGTCACAGGACCAGAATTGGCCGCCGTCATTAAAAAAAAAATGGCGCACAGCCCCCAAGGGCCTGGAACTTAAAACTTAAAAGTTGGTCCATTTTTCTCAAATAGAACAGCACCTCGAATGGACGCACATGCGTTGTATTCGAATACAAAGCACATGTTTTCTATTCAAATTTCGAAAAGAATAAAAAACTCTTCAATAGAACATTCCCTTTCCTTTCGAGGTTAGCTCCTGCCCTTGTGCTCCCAGTCACTGACATGCTGTGTGCTGCAGATCTCTCTCTCTCTCTCTCTCTCTCACACACACACACACACACACACACACACACACACACACACACACAATCTTGGAGTTGTGTATAGCGAACAAGACAAACCACATCACCAGAAAAACTTCGGGCTGCACACCCTGGCCCCAGATGGGTGGGCCGTTGTCATCTAATTTGGAAGGCTTGGCACAACTGGCGATAAATCAAGGCTTGGCACAACTGACGATAAATCAGACCTCACATGACCACACCTCCTTCCGTAGACTCCGAAAGGACCTCTGGACAGAATTGATGGCTCCCTGTAAGGGAGAATGGACTATCCAAATAGCACATGGCAATGTGTAGTAACGAGATGTCGTTTCGCCTCCTGTCCCCAAGATACATTCCACATTTTCATTCGGCATGTGACAAAACAAGGCCAGAACACGGGTGTACAACCATTGTGCACAGCAGGATCACACCTGCTGAGATTCCCACACAGTGTGCCCTCACAAACTCCGGCCAACCAGTTTATAGGTTGTATAGCCACAGGTCACAGGAAGTAAACAAGGCTGTGCGTACGCAGATTTACACGTTCATGCGCATTTGTTTTGCTTCTGTGTTTGCCCTTCATTCTAGAGGATCGCACAAAAAGGACAGAACGCATAAATGCATATAGATGTTCTCTCGTTCTTTCCTCTCGCATTTGCCTTGCAAGCTGCTATTCATCTCAATATCCTTTCATCTCTTCTTCTTCTTCTTCTTCTTCTTCTTCTTCTCCTCCTCCTCCTCCTCCTCCTCCTCCTCCTTCTGCTTCGCCATCGCCATTGTCTTCTTCTTCTGCTGCTGCTGCTACATTGCTATTGCAGTTTGCCTTTTTTCTTCTTCTTCTTCTTCTGCTGCTGCTGTTGCTGCTTTCTTTTCCTTCTGCTTCTTCTTCTTCTGCTGCTGCTTCTTCTTCTTCTTCTTCTGCTGCTGCTGCTGCTTCAGCAGCGGCTGTGGCTGAGGCGGCTGCTGTGGCTGCGGCGGCTGCTGTTGCAATTTGCCTTTCAAGGTGCTATTCGTGTTCTTTGGATGCATTTTGCCTTTCAAGCTGTTGTTCAATCAACGAGCTTCCGTGTCCTCTCGATGATCGTCCACCTCCTTTCTTCTTCTCTCTTCTTTCCCACTGGTGCCAAGAGACGATCACCTCTTGGAGTGCCTTGCCAAGCTCCCAAAAGCACACAAGACAGCACACATACACACAGAAAAGACGGTAAATAGAGAGAAAGCACGACAGGACCGGGGTCGGTATGTGGAAAAGAGGAGGAAGGACACAAGATAGCACACACACACACACAAAAGACGGCAAACAGAGAGAAAGCAAGACAGGAGCAGGGTCGGAATGTGGAAAGAGAGGAGGAGGGGAAGAGGAAAGAGCAAGGAAACGAACGGCAAGGAACAGCAGATGGGCAGAGAGGGAGGGGGAGGGAGAACGGGCCAAGGATGGATGGGAGTACGAGATAGAAGACTGGACATCCAGAAAGGGAGGCAGGCAATATGAAAAGGCGGGATTGCGGGGTAGGATAGGGAGGAGGGGGGGAATATGCGTCAGAGAGAAGTACGGGATGTAGGGAGGCAGCGGATAAGGGGAAAAACGTAAAATAACCTGTTTCTGTGTCTCTCTCCTCTTCCCCCCCCTCTCTTTCTCTCTCGAACACGGAACAGAAAAAGAAAAACATGAACCAGCCAGCCAAGCCAGCTTCTCCTCACTGTTCTGCTTTGTCGTTAACAAAAAAAAAGTGCATAATGCACCAAAACATAGCATAGAAGTCCATCTCTTGGGTGGAGTGGAGACGCTCCATCCCAGCAAACGTCCTTTTCCCCCTTCACTCACCCTCACAACCAATCAATCAATCAACCGGCCACTGAGGAAAACCCGCGCGCTCCTATCACAATGTCAATGCACAGCGTAGAACTTTCATCCTTCGCCCTCTCATTCATGAAGGCAGCCTCTCTCTCTCTCTCTCTCTCTCTCTCTCTCTCTCTCTCTCTCTCTCCGCATCCATCTTGTACATGCATGCCTCCTCTCAACTCGCTCTCCGCCTCTGTTTCACCCCACCCCCCTCACTCCGCCTTTCATTCTCGTCCTCTCTCTCCTGTGCTCCAACTCCCATTACCATCCCCTCCCCTTTCTCCTTTCCTGCTAAACAGGGCCCCTTGCGATTCCCTCCTTGGCACTCCCCTTGCCGTCTCGCTGCCTTATGTCCCCTTGCGGTGCCAACTAGCTTCTGCCTCGTTTCCGCTCTGGAGAGCGGGACTGCCTGCCCCTACCAACACCATCTTTCTCGTAAGAGCGGGATCCCGATGGCGAGCGATGGTGATACCCCGTCGAATGTTTGCCACGTGGCGACCTTGAGCGCGATCTGGACCGCGATCTGGACCCCCTACCCTTCACACTCGCCTTTCTACTCCTTAACGGCGAGGGCGATCTAGATGTACTCGTCCACCGCCTGGAGACGTTTCTCTTCTTAGGACTCGGACTACTCCTGCCGCGTCGCTGCCGTTGCTGATGATGCCCATCATCATCACTGCTCTCACTGCTGAGGCTCCTCCTGCTCCCAGAGGAAGAAGATTTATGACGGCGCTTGAGCGACTTGCCACTCTCGCTCAGAGCTTTATCTCTACCCTTGGTGTGAACCTTTTCAGTCTGCTCTCGATCCCGCTTACGTTTCTCCTTTCCTCTCCCTTTATCTTTCCCTTTCTCGACGTCTGCCCCCCTCTCTCTCTCCCTCCCTCTCTCTGTCTTCTCCTTTGTCGGCCTCTCCTGCTCTTCCTGATAGCCACCACTTCTGCCCACCCGACTACGACTGGCCTGATCATGATGCCGGCTCCTACTGTGACTATCCCTCTCCCCTTCTCTCCCCTCTCTCCCTTCCCTCCCCTCTCTCACTTCTCGTGCATGATTCCCTCGCGAAACGCGATCCTTCTTCTCCCTTCTCTCCTCTTCTCCTCTTCTTTCTCTCTCCCCATCCTCCCCAGTCCGTTTTGCCTTAGCCGTCCTGTCTTTTCCCCTCGCTCCTTCTTCTCTTGATCTCCCTTCTCGTCTTCTCTCCTTTTCCTCCCTCGATTTCCTTTCACTGCCGCCCCTTCCTCCTTTCCCATGCCCACCCGCCTCATTCTGCTCTTCTCCCTCGATAATGCTTCTTCGTCTCCTATCCCCATGCCCCCCCTGCTCGTCCTCCTCCTCCTCCTCCTCCTCCTCCTCCTCCTCTTCCTCCTCCTCCTCCTTCCTTACTCCTCGTCTCGATTCCTCTCCCGCTGTTTCTTGCGGATCTTCCTCCTCTTCATAGCTCCGCCGCGAACCCTCTCCTCCTCCTCCTCCAATCCCATCCCCCCTCCTCTTAAACCCGTCTTCGCCGCCATTCTTATTCAACTCCGACTCCCAAGACCGTCCGCCGCCGTTCTTATGTAATCCCGATCCCCAAGAGCTATCTGCTGTTCTCAATTTCCCCTCCCCCTCCGCAGGTCCTTCCCCTCCTCCATCTTCCATCGGCATTTCGGCCATGGCCACATCCTCTCTTTTTGATGGTGCCTCATTTAGCTCTTCTGCTCCTCCCGCTGCGGCTACTGCCAGAGTCTGCTCGTCACGCCTGAACGCTGCACCCCCTTCCTCCCCCTCCTTCTCCCTTCTCCCGTTCTGCTCCCTCTCCTCTCGACTACTCTCTACTCTATTACTCACTCCTTCAACGCCTTCACAATCTTCAGTGTTCATGTACCCTCGTCGATCTCTATTAGCAGCCCTACTCCTCCCGCGATTGTCGCCGCCATCGCCGCCATCGCCACCACTACCACTCTCCTCGTCACCATCACGATCCATTGCGACTGTTCCCTTCGCCATCTGCGCTCCGTCCCCCCCTCTCCTCGAAGACCTTTCCTCCCCTTCCTCTGTGTTATGGCGGGAAAGAGAGGTAATGTCATCCTCTACAGAAGGTGCCTCTGCCGCGGCGCTCGCTTCCCGTCCAGCGGAGTCCCCGAGTCTACTGAAACTTCCCCTTTCTTTCCCCCTCCCCTTCACCCCAATACCTTCCTCCTCCATCCTTCCGTACTTTGCCCGCTCAAAACGGCCATCGGCGAGATCAGTACTTACCGCCCTTTTCATCACCGGCGGCAACTGCTGCTGTTGTTGCGCATCCTCTTCTGTCCAATACATCGTCTTCTCCTTCCTCGCCCTGTATTTTTCCCCCTCTTTCTCCCCTGCGTTATCCCTTAAATCACTGTCAACAACTGCCTCTTTCGGCCTATCATCCATACCCTCCTCGTCGTCACTCTCCTTCCTTTCCCCCAATCGATCGCTAATCGCCGAGTCCTCCCTCTCTCCTCTTCCATGTTCATTTTCCCACTCTTTCTCCTTGTCCTTGTCATCATCCCGGTTCTCTGCCTCCTCATCTTGCTCCTGCTCCTCCTCCTCCTCCTCCTCCTCTTCCTCCTCCTCCTCCTCCTCATCATCATCATCATCATCAGTGTCGTAATCGGCAAGTCCTAACAGATTGCCAGCCGCCGATCCTGATGCGCTCCGTTTACTACCCTTGGTGGCACTCCTGCCTGTCGTGCGCGAAGCCTGTTGTCTGCCTCCGTCTGGGGCCATTAGCACTACGCGCGCTTTCGAGCCCGTCGAAGGCACAGGTTGTTGGCCTGTTACTGCGGCGGCAGACGCCGTCCCCTTCCTCCGAGGGGACTGCGGCGGACGGGATCGGAGAGCGGGAGGGAGAGGAGGGGAAGGACTCGGCGCATCCTTTTCCGCGAGAACCTCTCTTGCTATTTCCTCAAACAGGTCGTCTGTGACCTTAAGCAAAACTTCTGTCAAGATACGCTTAATCTCCAAGTTAATGGAGGCTATCCTGGCAACCTCTTCATCATCCTCGTCCTCTTCCTCGTCATCCTCGTTGTCCACGTCATCGCTGACGTCAGATGCCGGGTCCCCCGGCCCTTTAGTCCGATCCCGATCACGAACGGAAGCCCCTCCTGCAGCAGCGGCGGCACCTCCTCGGTGAGCTAGACCGCTTGGCAGCCCCGACTCCGACCCGCCCGATGCTCCTTTGCCCTGAACCTGGTACGCGGAACTGTGCCCTCCTCCTGCTCCGCATCCCCCGGCGGTCCCCACCGCACCTCCCAGCGAGGTTCCCGCCTGCCGTTGCTTCTTGATGAGCTCCTCCCGCAGCCAAGATGGAACAGCCGGCTTTTTGGGTCTCTCCACCGCTGCTGTCAGCAGTCCACCATTCCCATCAGGTCCCAAAGCGGCGGGACCACCAATCATCATTCCACGAGTACCATCGAACGGACCGGGAACCATTCCAAGACCGTAGGTCGTTCCACCGGGTGCTCCAGCTGTGACTGATGCTGCTGCTGCCGCCGCCGCCGCCGCCGCCGCCGCATGGAATCCAGCAGATTCTCCCAAACCCACACCCCCCCCTCCTCCCGGCGGGATAAACGCCGGTCCCGACGTCGATGGGACGGCCATCCCATGTACCTGCATCCTGTTCGCCATCATTGCAACCTGCTCCTGCTCCTCGGCAAGCGGCCCCATCATCCCCACAGCACCGATAGAAGTTCCAGGAGTGCCAGGGACCATTGTGGGACCACTTGGCATAACCCCAGGACCAGCAGGGGGACCACTATACTGCTGCATTCCTGCCCCAGGTGCCATCCTCTGCCAAGCCAAATCAGTTTGCATAGCATGAGCCCCCCCCCCCCCGAACGCAGCCGCCTCTTCATTTCCCTGCAATTCCACAGCACCCGCCACACCATCCGCCATTACTTGCCTTAGCCGATTTCCGGACCCAGGATCCTGATACTCGAGCTGCTGCTGCTGCTGCTGCTGTTGTTGCTGCAGCAAATGGTAGTCATAAGAGGCAGCTCCTTGAGATGGTTGAAGATTATGAGGATGAGTCAAATGATGATGGTGGAGAAGACCACCAGGAGGAGGAGGGTACGAGTAGTAATTCTGTGATGCAGAATGTTGAGCTTGCTGCTGCTGCTGCTGCTGCTGCTGCTGCTGCTGCTGCTGCTGCAGGACACCTCCCTCTGCTCCATCCATACCGCCAACGGCCTCTTGACCCCCTCCTCCTCCTAGGGGGTAAGGTCCTCCAGCCGACGCTGGTGCCATCGGGATCCCAGACGGTCCCAATCCCATTTGGGATTGATCTAGCTGGTGCTGCTGCTGCTCATCAAGGAAGGAGGGAGTTGCCCCTGCCCCTCCCATTCGCATAGAATGTGCGTAGTCATTGCCGTGCTGCATATGTTGGTCGTGGCGATACTGTCCTCCCACCTGCAATTGCTGCTGCTGCTGCTGCTGCTGCTGCTGCTGCTGTTGGCCCCCACCATCCTCTCCCCCTGAGTGACTCTGCTGCTGTTGATGAACTGCGCCATCACTCTGCACTTGCGGATGCTGCCGTTGTTGCTGGTGTTGGTGCTGTTGCTGCCCCGTTCCATCCAGATGAAACCCGGCGGAAGAGCCGGCGGGCGAGGCATGATGCAGTTGAAGTTGGTGGTTTACCTCGTGGGATCCGTGCAAAGTCATTTGCGAGACAGGGGATTTGGGGGATTGCCCAGGAGGAACCTGCTGCTGCTGCTGCTGGAGAGCAAGGCCAGCGGCAGACGTTTGTACGTGACTAGGAGGAAGGAAGTCCTGCCCTAGGTGCATCTCGTGCTGCTGCTCTTGTTGTTGTTGTTGTTGTTGAAATTCATAGTGCTGAACCTGATAAGGATGATCGTGAGGATGATGACGATGGTGCTCCGCATCATAAGGATATCGCTGATGGTGCATTTGCATGGCATCCTGCGACCCCAACAACTGCTGATGTTGCTGGTGATGTTGCTGCTGCTGCTGGTGTTGCAGCTGCTGTTGCTGCTGCTGCTGCTGCTGCTGGCCCTGGGTCTGGGCTTCGAGAGCAGCCTTGGCAGCCGCCCAGGCACGAGCCTTGGCCGCCCACTCGCTCTCGACACTGCCAGAGGTGAAATTGCCATAGCTGTTACTACCGTACCCGATCTGTTGATAACCATAACCCCCCCATTGCTCCATCGCGGCCTGATTCCAAGCGCCACCTCCTCCTCCTACCCCTCCACCGCTCACGTCTCCCCAAACTTGTTGATTACTATCAACGTACGCGGCCCCCTGTTGCGAATGATCGTACTGCGACATCTGACCGACTGTCCCTTGCTGCCGTTGGGCATAAGCATCCATGGATGCCGAGTGCTGGTGTTGTAGAGTGGGTGCAATGGAACTGTACCCTGCTCCAGGCATGATCGCTGAATGCAGAGGCTGAGAAGCATGTGAAGGGGGGTGATTAGATGGATCATGATGTTGATGATAGTTCCCTGCCACGTCATCGCCCGTTGCTAAACTTGGATTGCCCTGATGGTGATGAGGAGGATGTGAACCTGAACCGCCACCACCACCTCCTCCTCCTCCCCCTCCCCATTGCATCTCGGCGTTTAGTAGCGCGTGTTGCGGCTGTTGCACACCCTGCAACGACAACAAACGCGCTTGCTGCTGCTGCTGCTGCTGCTGCTGCCAGGTGTCACCGCCTTGCATGTGCCCTCCTCCTCCTCCTCCTCCTCCTCTTGCCCCTGGCCGATTTTCAGCGTGCTGTTGTTCTCTCATTGCGACAAGCCCTCCTCCCTTCATGCCTCCATCACACATCGCTTGCTGCGACATTCCCCCAATCATCTGCTGCTGCTCCTGCTGGCTCAACTGGTGATGCTGAGAAGGATGATGATGAAGAGAAGGCTGGTTAGGACCAAGGTGAGGAGGGTACATGGCTGCCCCTCTGTGTTGCCCTGCCGCATCAAGCAGTTGATGATGATGTTGCATGCGGCCCTGCGCGTCATCCATGTACTTTACCCCCCTTCCCTCTCCCCTCCCCCCAATCTTCCGCCCCTACTTCACTCCCACTGTTCAAGCTCTTCCGCACTCTCCTCCCCCCCTCCCCCGCCCCCTACTTCCGCCACCTCCTCCTCCTCCCTCTCTCTCCCCTAACGCCCCTTCCTTGATCCATCCCCATAATCTTCCCCAGCCCTTCTCTCCCACCTCCTGCTTTCTGCTAGAGCTCGTTGCCCTTCCCCTACCCCCACCGCTTACTTCCTCTCCTATACCGCCCGATGACGATCCTTGCGCGAGAATAACTCCATCACGGCCAACGCTCCGCCTGCTTCGTAGAGAAAGCCCTATGTCCCTCTATCGTCCCACTTACCTGACTGCCGATGCACGCACACAGCTGTCGATGTCACATGATTAGGTCAACTGTTT